GCTGCCTATGAGAGGGCAGGGCAGGAGCAGAGGGGTCAGTCAAACAAGAGAGAAGCGGGAGGATGGAGAAACCCTACGACGGGAGTGAAATTGAATGGACCAGAGGAAGAAGTGTATAGATTGCTCACTTACTAATTATGAAAAATTGGTTGCTATGCTATTTCACTAAATAATTTCAGTAAATTCATACTTTAAAAACATAATAAAAAAAGATAATGATGTGGGGAGTAACTGCTTTAGAATACCAGTATAGGCAGAACTAGACTTCTCAGTGGTTAACTGAGTGCTGTGAGTGGTCTTATTTCTGAGTCATGCAGTCACACCAGTCCCATACAAAGGGAAGCTTTCAGACCATATATCAAAATCTTCCTTATAAAATCTGAGTTTTCAAAGAGCGACTAAAACCACTCATTGTTAAATTTGTTGAGGGACCTTGGATTAAGGTGTTTTGATTGTGACTTCTTTCAGGATGTAGTAATAAAAAGTTGGGGCCAGTTTGAGCTAGCAGGTTTTTACAGGAAAAAAGCAGTGGCTGTTCTGTGATTCCTCAGGCATGGCTTGTTTGCAAACACGATTACTGCCTATCTAATTTAGGATTGAATAGAGACGAATAAGTTGTTGCTGCTGATGTTAGTCATTACAAAATAAAACAGATTTCATGGGCGAAGACCAAGAAGGAAACATATTTCAGGGTAGCAAAAGCAGCAACTAGATTTTAAGAATCTTGTCCATCTCGGGCTTTGAAGCCTTGTCTCAGTCAAGGGGTGTAGCCACTGCTATATTCTGGTGCGTACTGTCTCCTCTTTTCTTACCCAGCACTTCACTTTCACAGGCAGGTGCTGAGAAAACCTAACCCTTATGTAGCTTTTTGCTACGTCAAGATCTGAGTCCTTGTTTCTGTGGCTTGTTCTCTCTTAAAAGAATACACAGAGATGGTCCTACCTCAATCCTGCAGTAATTTTTAGCCAGTTTTCTTAGCTGTAGGAAATTAGTCCAAATTCAAAGAGTTGCCTCTCCCAAGTAAGTGTCTTGACCATCATTAAGTTGTGGAGTATGTTGTTTTTCCTTATTCTGCTGAAGTTTCTATTTTGTCGTAGTTACCTTTTCTCAGCACAGTGAACAGGACAGAGCACTTCTTGGGTGACTTGTTCTTCTGGTATGAGGCAGATGGAAATTTTTCTCCTAGCTCTGCTGGTTCATGTTGGTTTTCTGTAGCGGAGAGGGATGAACAGACCTGTCACTGACTTGCATATGTTAGGTTTCTGGTAGGTGGGATGGGTGAGTTTATCAAAATGTGTTTTGTAGAACATCATTCACGGGAAGAAACCCTTAGTATCCCAGACCAGGTAAACAGTGACTGTTGTCTCAGCAGAGCAGACACTGCTTCTGTGGCTCAGTGAATTATGATTCTTGCAGGAGGGAGTGTGCCAGCCAGAGAGAAGATGTAATCTAAAGCCCATGGCCTGAAGGTATGAGTATTTACCTGGGAGGATGGGCAGCAGAATTTTACTCCTTGCTTTGACCTGGCTGAAAGCTGGTGGTTATAAGGTTCATTTCCCATACTTCTGGCAGGTATGTCCCTTTTCCTGGGGCTGCAGATGCTTGTTTGCGTGGTTGCTTTCTAAAACTGATCTTTGTATCCATGAGGAGACTCACAGGGTAAATTCATACATTAATCCAGAGGTTCTCTTCCTGGCCTGTCATGTGGAAAAATGAATGTGTTTGGGCACACTTTCTAGGTTTTTGGCTTCATCTCAGAACATCTGTGTTTACAGCAGGCCATTTTCCTGTTACAGCTGCTCTCCATTTGGCTAACTTCCTTATTAGCCCAGTAGTTTTGTCACTGACCTGACTTAGGAGAAATGTGTTCATAGCTGACAGGCTTCTGGCCATTTGTGGAGACGATGCTTTCCCCCGTAACGTTCTACTTGGTATTAGGTCCTTATGCAGGAGGGGAGGCTGCCTGGCATGTTAGCCCCAAAGTGAATGCAAGGGAACAAATGGCAGTTGCAGTGTCCTTCATTTTCTGCCTGTCTTGCTTTAGCCCAATTAGCCACCATGTAGATGAGAGCAGGAGGCCATCAGGAAATAGGGAATGGTTGCTTCAAAGCCTTGTGCATTGTTGTGGTTTCAAAGGAGTGCAGATGCAGATGACTGACACTCTGGATTCTGCTGTCCTACAGCCTGGAGCAAGGATTGGGTCCTTAAGGTCCCACATTTGCTGCAGATTGACGAAACCATCGAGCTGTCACTTGTACAACCAACTTACTGCCTTTTCTATTAGCTAATCCAAAGCGGAAGCTACAACAGAAGATAGTTCTCTAGAGCTGGTGAGTCCCTATAAGCACAACTAGTGAATCTGTCATCGCTTGCTGTGCAAGAAGCTGAAGTTAGCCTGGAGCATTGTTCTTTTATGTAATGGAGGGGAAGTGGCTCCGGTCCAGGTGATCCAGAAGCCCGAGGAGCCAGACCATCCTGTGATGTTGGCCTGATTAGCTGTAAATAATCCTGGCGTGACTGCCCTGTTCTGTGTCTTTGCCCTTCGCTGTTTTTTTTCGGTGAGAGGAGGGGGAAGGACGTGTGTTTCCTAGCTGCTAGGGTATCTCCTGTGTTTATGAATGGGACTACCTATACCGTGATCTGTGCAGAACTGTTTTTGGCGTGTGCATGGAATGAAGTATGGAGGGAGAGAGTGAGTTTATGAATGCTTGTACAGAAGCATCTGGATAATTAACTCAGTCATTAGGTAGGAGCATTTAAACCCTTAAAGACATTTTCTGTGGGAAATACAGGGCAATCATCTCCTCAGGCACCTCAGAGAGACGTGGTTAGATGCTGACTTCTGCCTTAATTGCACATCAGGAATTTAGGTATAATTTTTGAGTCTCACCTGGAATAATTTATTCAGTATCACAAGAATTTAAACCTAGTCTTACTGCCAGGGTAACACCATCATCACTAGGCCATTTTTACTAGCTCATCTGTCTCCACTGACAAGCTGGCATGGTACAGTGAAGGCCCGGGTCATTTTGCTCTTTCAGTCCCCCAGGAACAAATGCCAATCAGCAGTGGGGGGCAGGAGCAGACGCCGACCCAAGTCACTGAGGCTATTCCAGGATAGCGCCGTTATTCTGTTTCAGGTACTCTCATGGGAGCATCCCAAGCCTTGCATATTAGTTAACCTTTCCCATAGTTGCTATAAGTGAAAGGGCTTTGATCTATGAATGAGCCCAACACATGGTGCTTGCTCACTGTATGTTAACAGCAGAGATGTTATTTTTAGCTCCTGAATTCTTTTTCTCCTTCACTATTAGAGCTGAAAGACCTTTAGTCCTTAAGACAGACAACTGTTCACTACATAGTGTATTTGGGACAACATGATGATCTTTAAGGGCCCTTCCAACCTAAACCGTTCTATGATTCTATGAACGTGCTATGTAAGGCTAACACCTCTAATGGGAATATTTTTTTCGCAAAATGGGTAAGTGGCTTTTTAAATAGCCATTAAAAATCTAAATAAAGTAGTCGTGTTTTTAAAAGTTTTAAAAAGATCTGTTATCTTTGGAACATGTAATTTACATAACTAGCTGCAGTCATCCTTGATTTAGAACAATTACTGCATTAAAGTACTTGCTTTTTCCCTTTAAAAACAAAAACAAAATCCAAAACCAAACCCCAAACCAAAAACCAGACAGGTTTCCAGCAAAGGCTGGGATAATTGACTGGAATGGAAATGGAGCTGTCTTGCAAAACTCCAGTACACAGCTGCTGTTCTCTCAGAGGTCTTTTCTCCTGCCATCTGAGAGCGTTCCCTTGTCTGGTCACTTGTTTTGCCTTTTTTTAACGTAATCACTAGTTGCTAGAAATAAATATTGTAAGAACTAATATGCTGGTTACATTCTTACAATTGGGTTTGTGTGCAGGGCATGCTGGTTTAAGAGGAAGCTGTTTTATAACATTTTTAATTATGAAATTTCTTATGCAACAGAGTTTAAAGGTTAGTTATAAACAATCAAATCACAAAGCTTCCTTAGGCAGTAACTCACCTCTGTAATTTCTCGTAGCTCAAGCTTCACTCAGTCCAGTCTCACACCAAACAAGATTCAGGAGCTAGAATACAAGGTATGCTGATTCAATGTACAGTTCATAATATTTCTTTAGCAGTGCTGCTCACAAACCATTGAAATAGTTTAGCTATGGCTACAGTGGTTTTTTCCTTTTGAAGTCCTTTAGTGGAAGTCAGGCAGCTGTGTCTGTTTTTCAAAGCTGTGCAATACCAGTTCCTGAACAAAAGGGGAAAGGTGTCAGAGAAGTTGCTGGTAGTGTTTGGGGCTTGAAAGACTCATGCACCCGTGTTTTCAGTTTCGAAGCGTGCAGAGGAGCTGCTTGCTACAGCAGGAACGTCTCGTGGGCACCACTGGCAGTAGGCAGGCCATGCCGACTCTCTGGATCTAACACCATGAAACCAGGCCCTCCATAGCTGATTCTGCAGCCGGCTCCAGTCCCTGACTGTGGGATAATTTATAGAGCTGTAAGAAATTTAACTGTAGGCTCCTACCCCTTGTGTGGGCATGGACTGCATCCAGAAAGAAAGGAATCCATAATCCTAATCATCAGCTTAAAACCACTGCTGCGTTCACTAAGATTTGAGTAGAAAACTGAAGATGGAGGGAGGTATCACAGACCCTGGTACTTCCATTTGGACCAAATCTAACTGAGAAGCATACGGGAGTACCGAGCCTGCCCATGCCTTACTCCTGGTATGACAACAAGAGACTTTTGCTGTCTTTAGGAAGAAAAAGAAATTGTCTCTTCCAAAATGACTTTACTTTAGATGAGCAAACAGCTGAATAGACACATTGCATTTCCTACAAGGGAAGAATGAGCCAAAAATCTTCAGCCTTAGAAGTGACTGTGCCTTCCTGGGCTTGCTTCTACCTTCGAGGGATTCTAGCACAAGCCGTTCTAATTTTTTTTTTAAGCCAGACAATTGACTTTAGTTTTATTACAAAGCTTTTATTAAAAAACAAATGCTCAGCACATTAACTCAAACTGGAATGACAAAAAAAAAAAATCGGTTGACAGTATTTTTGGCAAAGGCTGTGCCTTACTATTTTAAAAAATGGGTACATCAATGCTCATTTCAACAACTGGCATAAAATCCCACTAACAGGCTAACAAAAACAGATACAAATACAGAACAATTGAAGTAATAATTCAAGTGCTGGGCTTTTTACAAGGAGAAGGGGAATGGGTGAGAAGAAGAACTCACTGCAGTCAGATTTGCTGGATGTATTGCTTATGTTTACAGAGTAGATGATGCAAGACTGACGTGTCTACTGACCAGCTGACTGTTGTTACATTTATTTAGTTCTATAGGACACTGTATTATATAGACTGAGAGGCCACTATTTGTTACAAATAGTTTAACAAAAAAGCCACCTTTTTTCCATACAGGTTTTTCCTCTGGCAGAAAAAAAAAAAAAAAAAAAAGAAAAAAACCTTTTATTTAAAAAGTATTTCAGATTTCTGACACTTGTTTAAAAGCTCATACCTAGTAAAATATACACCAAAGAAATTACAAACTAAAAGTTAAAATATAAAAGCATTCAAGTTTCTTAAAAAAGCTAAAACCAAAATTGATCCTGTCGCACCATTAAATAAAAAGAAGGTTGAGTATGTCATCCTGGTCCAGGCAAATTCCATTTCTTGATGTGCTGTATGGGGCAGCTGTGGTCTACGTTGGCTGAAGCAGGCAGAGACAGCCACGCTACTTTGTTTGCTGACTCGATATGGACACAGATGAGGGGGCTTAAGAGTGCAAGGCAGAGGTGGAGTGAAGACAAGAGCTGCTCTGCTGACCCAGGAGCTCATTTGCTTTATTTTATCGGGGCTGGACCTCGTGACAGTGAAGGATTTTGGCAGTGATTGTCTTTATGATTCAGTGTCTCTAGCAGTGACATCAGGGTGAATGACATCCTAGACAGACTCCTTGGGGGTGGTCTGTGTGGATGAAGGACACACCTAGGGTTTAACAAGCTTCCATCTCCAGAAGAGGTCCTGGTGTCGCCGCCTTTGCTTTGCAAGTTGAGAAAGCATTTCTTTTCCCACCTAAAGGGAGGGGAGAGAGAGAGAGAGAGAGAGAAAGACTACATGAAGCCTTTTTTTTAAATCCTTCAAAGAAGCTGGTGGTGGGTCACTGTAACTCTATGACATGATTGTATTAGTGGAATGTGCATTTGCAATGTCAAAGTTAAGTGCAGAGTATTGGTACTTGCTCTTGCTTGAAGTTTGCAAGAATATATATGGAGAGTACTTTGGACTGTAAACAGATGCCCACACCAACTAGAAAGGAGGGGTTTTAAGCTATTTAGACATTCAACATATTACAGAAGTTACAGAAGTAATACCCTTTTGTAGTGGATTTCCTTTATCTACATGTGGCCCAGATACCTGTTACAAAGCTAGACATCCTCAGGCTTTGGTACTACAGTGGTTGAGGTCGATTAAACCTCTACTTCAGAGCTTCAAGCTCTAATCTTTGCAGAAATGAAGAAATGCTGTCTTCTGTAAGCAGCTGGGTAGAGGAATGTGGTGGGTGAGGCATGTGTGAACACTGACCCTACCATGCATCCTCAAAACTGGGGAAGATTCGTTCTGCTCTTCAGCAGGGTAGGGAACATCTTCCAGTTGTGTAAGAGTCATGGACCGCTTACCTAGCAGTAAAGTTCACTAGGATCTTGGAAGGATTTAGGTTCTTATAGCATGTGAAAAGGCCAACAGTGCAAGCCTTACAGATATTGCTCATCCAGAGAGGAACAGTTCTTCATCATTAGGTCTGTGGGTTACATGAGCTGACTTACGCAATTGCTAACTCAACCATCACCCTTGCCCTTCTGACCCAGACAACTGGGTTGTAACACGGACTCCACCCAAAGGCAGTCTAATGAGTCAGGCATTTTTCCAAAGACGGACACATGCTCTCCAGTAATGGTCTCGGGATTATTGGTATCTCAAAAAATCTACGTTAACCTCTAGGCCTCCAGGTACTACTCAGCTGCCAACAAGTAGAGGGTTCAATGAGCAGAGCTTTTGAGAATGACCAAAATTAGCACAGGAATGCAGTTCAGTGGAGGAGGTGAGTGAATTTCCACCAGAAGAAACACAAAATGCTTAGTCACACAAAGAAGATACACTGCCAGCATCTTGAATCACGCAAGGCAAGACACAACAAGTTTATGAAGAAGTGGTTCAAACCACAAGTCAAACTTCTGTTAGACTAATGATAATAGATAGGCTGCTTGAGCCTGTAAGAGCCACACGCAGAGTTAATCAGCAAATATCACAGCAGCAGTATTTAAACCAGGGCCATTTATAACTGGGCACCCACCTCCCATCTGCTGCAGCTTCTGTGTAAGCCATTACAACGCTCAACGTTTTGCTCATACTGGTTGAGTACTGCTCCCAAATAAGGAGGTACACAGGCTAATGTACTCCAGGGTCGAAAGCCTCCAAAACTGCTTTTGGCCTCTTTGATTTTAGTAAGCGCAAGCTGAAGCCCCAAAACCTTGCTTCACAAGTTGTCTCCTCATCAGAGGCCACCCACGTGCCCATTGTTTTAGTGGAAAGGAAAGTTGAGGACGCTGAAGAAGTTTAGGTGCAGACTAACTAAGGTAGAAAGAAAAAGCACAAGTTTTTATCAAACTGTCCTGTACAGCTTTAATTTAAGGGACACTCTCCCCTCCCCCAAATACCGCCATCCCTGATACATAATGAATAATTTTCACCTGCTGCTGGTAGCCACAAGAGGACATTTAAAGCCACTGTGGCCTTTTAAACAGCACAGCTGAAAGTCCACTGGCAAACCAGTGGTTTCAACAGAGGTGGTCTGTATTGACTAATTCAGTTCCTATTTCCTCATAAAACCAGCCCGAGTCCCAACTAAAAAAAGCCTTCTGAGCTTCCTGCCTTTTTTTTTTTCTTTTATAAAGTAGCACAGTGCTCCGTAACACATGCGGATCAAAGCGCTGCGAAGGGCTCTACCTTTCCAAGGAGCACGAAAGAGAGGCCAAGCAAACAGCAGAGGAACACTGGGGAGAGCACCCTGCAGCTTTATATTTATTTTGTGCCTTTTCATCCCGGATTTTCAAAGGTTTGGTCCAGGTTGCTCTTCCTGGGAAGGTTTTCCTCTCAGTCTTACATGAAAACATTCAGCTTCCTGTTGAGGAATGGCCTTGAGGCGCCAGGCCAGTAGTTCACAGCAGTCTGATACAAGCGCTGTGATTCAGAGCTACTCCCCATTAGCAGCCAGGAATGTCTACTTCACTGAAGGAAATGAAATGCTCTTCTGTTGAGATGGTTCCCTGCCTCCTCCCCCCTTCCCATACCAGCAAGCTGTCTTTGAAGTCAGGAGGTTAAAATAACGACTGCGGCCTTGCTCTGGCCCTCAGCTTTTTCAAACAGCAGCCATCACTTCTGTCTCGATCCCAACGCAGCTTTCGCAGCGCCTGCCTCCTTTCCATGGCGCCTAATTATGCCCCTGCTCCAATAGAGAGGCTGCAGATACTGCTGTAGTTCTGCAAGGGGTCAGGCACAGGGAAGTCCCAAATATTTTTATTTTTAAGCGAATACTGCAGTACAGCAAATTACACAGTAGCTAGCCTGAAAACAGCATCTAGAACCCAGCCGTTCCCCAGCTGCACGTTAAGGCTGCGCGCTGGAAATTGCTTCTACTGCTGATAAACCAAATAATACCTAAAAAATACGAACGACGGTGGTGTTGCCTTTCAGATATAAAACAGGTCAAATCAGGATTCTTTTCAAGAAACCACAGGCATGTGCTAAGGAGACTGAAGACTTCCCACATCTAAGGCTTCACTGGGGGGCTGTAGCTGAAGTCTCGCCAAGCGAGGCATGCCCTAGCAAAGCCCAATCCACAAGTGAAGTCGGCGCAATCAAAGACTGCAATTACAGCTCCCTGGCTGTGGTTAGGCTTCAAAGAAAGTGCTGCAAGTCACATTTTACATATGTGAAGTCTTGAGCCCGAGCCACAATAGGAGGCACTGTCTGTGCCATTTGCAGTGTACATCTGACTGCAGGAGGAAGGGGAGGGGGGGAGAAAGACCCAACCAGAAAACCACCTCGAGAAAGAAACAGAAATAAAATTCAACAATAATTCAGTGTAAAAAGAACAGCCTTACCACTGAAGTACTAAAACTGTATTTCAGGAATCACTACAGTAAAACTAAAGCCTCCTAACAAGTCTGGGCTCAATGACTGAGGGCCGGAGCATCAGAGGGGGATCAGAAGTCCTCCCCGTGCGTGGGAATGAGACGGATTGAAGGCTGCAAGGGCCTTGTGCTCCTCCTCTAGTCTTCAACTCAGCTCCATTTTTCTAGAACAGGGGAGAGGATTATGCAGCTTCATCCAGGTCATGCTAATTGGAAGACGTTCTAGAAGAAAGTCAACAGTGTCTGGGTCTGCACAGGAGTGAGTAAGAAAGATAGCTAACCCTTCACAGAAAGAAGAAAAAGTAAAAAATTTTAAACCAGCTGCTTTTTTTCTACACCTTTCCCCACCATAGGTTGTTTTTATACAGCTGTAAGAAGAGACAAGACAACATACAACAGCAGTTATATGTATTAAAAAGAAAAAGTCAGTCTCCCAACCTGGCTTTTAATCCAGTCCTTTAAACAACATGGCAAACTCAGGGACCTGGCAGCTGAAACTGTCATTTTTCTTTTGAAGTCCAAAATGAACATGTTCAACTTACTGCCAGGGTTTATCCAATGCTCCAGAAACTCGGGTATGCAAAACCAAGTCATTATTTATCAGAAAGGTTCACACTGTTTGTGAAGCCCCTTTGTATTTTCTTTAGCAGCAGAGCTGGAGAGAGTTCCAGGCGCAAGCAGATAGATGCCGGCCCTGCAGTCTGCTCCTCTTCCTGCCCAGCTGTGCCATGGTTTGTGGGGTTAGCCTAAACCAGATCCTTGAAATGTTCTGGGCAAACAAAAACAAACACTCCACAACCTTTGTTGTTTCTAAACAAAAAAACCACCTCCCATCAGAACCCCCAGTCATTTTAGTAATCCAATTTGCTGCAGGGTCCCACAAGCTGTTACAGCGCAGGGATGGAGGGACCTACGGGAGACAGGAAAAAGCCCTCTCTGCAAGAGCTGGATACCAGCAGGCAGCAGCGGAAAACCTATTAAGCTGTCTTTGTTGCCAAAAAAATTACATAAAATTGTACCCTAAAACTGTAACAGATACTGTCATGTTGAAGCTACGTCAGTGGTAATTTTTTCTTGTGTTCCCCCACCCACCCCCCAGGCTCGCTACTGTTAGCCTCAGCCCATTGCTGGGAACTGTGAACCGAGCCTCCAGTAACAAATTACCCACTGGTGTTTTACACACCCAGAAGTAGTTACCCCTGGAAATACCTCTCTCCGTTGACTTCAGGTGGAGTCTGGTGTCCTAACTTCTGTCCTCTGAGTTTGGCCTACGCTAGATGCAGGAATACCTACACCATCCCCCAGCCCCCCATGAGTCAGAGACCTCTTCCAGAGCAGGTTAGTGTCAGCGCAGGAAACGCCCAGGTATTTTAGGGCTCCCACTTTGTGCAGCTGAAGTCAGTGATGCCAAAGCAGGTGTGGCTCTTATCAAAGGCCCCCAGTGTAGGCAGCACGAAACTAGAAGCTTTATCACTGCGCTACAATCTTTAAAATGATCCTACTGGAAGACCCACAATCTGTTTTTCCTGTTGGGGTGGGAGGGGAGAGAGGTTCCATGTTTATAATAAAAAACAGACTAGCCCTAGACAGCTGTCTCTAGCAGCTTCTTAAAGAAGAATAATATACTAAAAGTGCTCTGCGAGGGAGGAAGAAATAGGCTTGTCCCCTTTTGTATCTTTATAGCATATAATAAATATTCAGAAGACTCTTAGAAATTATTTATTTTATAGACTGAGAGCTGTGAAGAAAGATGCATCTGTTCTGAAGTAGCAATTTCAGTGCCCCTAGCTTTCACCTGCTGTAATAGAAAAGACATGAGGTACTGGTAAAGTAAAGTAAGTGAAAATTATTTCAAAAGAAAGAAATGACATAATAGGTGAA